CGCGAATCTTCAGTGTAATAATGTCTTTCTTTTTTCCACTGTGGACAAGAACGTGAATATGATGCGTGGTCTCCGTCACAGTTTACACAATGTAGGGTTTTTGTTACATTTGTCTGAGATGTGGCCTTGGGCACCGCATTTGGCACAAGCAGGTCGACCACGACAGCTCTGAGAGCCATGGCCGAACCTTTGACACTGGTAGCATCGGCGGGGGTTTGGTATGTAGGGTCTGATCGGTGTCTTTGTATAGCCAGTTTCTATTGTTTGTGGTAGTTCACTGGTGGCAAAGGTCAGTACCAAGTGTTTCGTGGGGATTTCCTGATTGTTCCTTCGGATGACGATTCGTTTAACATTGGTCACATTCTGTTCTTTCCAGCCCTCGAGGAGTTCAGCCTCCGTCAGGTCAAGGAGGTCTGTGTCAGAAACAACTCCACGTGCAGAGTTCATGGATCGATGAGGTGTTACGCTGATGGGAATGTCGCCGAATGTTGCAAGGTTCTTTAGTTTGTCAAATTGTGTTTTGTCACGGAGTTCTAAAAAAAGGTCACCGCTAGCCATTTTTGTAACTTTGTAGCCATCACCTAATGTGGCTGTCAGGGACCGCGATACTATGAACGGGGACACTGTTCTGGCTGTTTTGCTGGGCTTCTCACTGCGTACAACATGATAACAAGGGAATACTTCTTTGGGTCGGCTGAAAAAGGAAAATTTTTCGACGCGTACGCGCTTTGAAGCGGCACGATCATTGAGGAGTGGAAAGCTTCTCTGCATGATAGAGGAATGTAATTCAGTAACGATGGCAGCCACCCACCACGGAGCCCAACGAGGGGACGCTACAAGGTTCATGAAACGCGAAACATGCAGACGCCAGCCGTACACCGCTACGATAACCTAATGCGCGTAGGCCAAGGTTGGCTAGTTGCACAAGGTTAACCCAAGCCGCCCATGAAAATGGGGAAGTAACAGAAGAAATGAGAAGAAGACAGGATAGATTTAAAGAGGAGAAAATACGAAGGTGTGGGGGAGAGAGAGATAGGAAAAGGCGACTGCCAATTTCCCCTGGGTGGGTCAGTCCAGGGGTGAAGCCGGGGCCAAAGGGGTGTGTTGCCTCTGCCGGGGGGCCTTAATGGTCCAATCACCCAGCGTCGGCTCAACCCCCAGGATTCCCTTTTCCCCGGACACGGCAAAGCCACGCACGGCTAGGCGTGGGAGGAAGTCGAAACCCCCCCCCCGCCCCCCACCCCCGTTAGCTCGGGTCCGTGGTGTCGCTACACACCAAACGCCTGCTTGCACAGGCGTCCCTGCGGGGGCGGTAGGATGTTGGAAAATGCTTTTTTCGAATAGAATCTAATTCACTGCACTGTATCAAAATATGTAGGACACTAAGGGGTTCGCCACATTTCTCACACATTGGTGGATCACCACCAATCAGAAAGTGTGAGGGTGTACTATATGTGTGTCCGATACGTAATCAACAGAGTGCTACTTCTGTACGGCGTGTTTATGATGTTGGTGGCCAGTCACCAAGGTAAGGCTTGATTAAGTGTAATTTATTATGTACTTGTCCGCCCCATGTACGCTGCCAGTAGTCCCTCAGCTTTTTTTCTCAAAAAGGGTTTCAAGTACATTACGGGGACAGCTACAGATGACTCCAAAGTGTTCGCATGGACTGATGTTGCGAGCTTATCCGCTAGTACGTTTCCCTCAATTTCACGGTGTCCTAGCACCCAACATACTACTACATGCTGTTTCGATGCGTAAATGGCACAAAGGAGAGAGTATAGCAAAACAATGACAGAATTTTTGTACTTTCTGATGGCTTTTAAAGTTTTTACAACGCTTAATGAATCCATGTATATGACTGCATTACTTATTTCAGATTCTTTAATGTATTTTGCTGCCGCCAGTATTGCTTAAGCTTCAGCTGTAAAAATGCTTGTGTGAGGGTGCAGAATACCGACATCGAAAAATATGGGCCCACTGCTGCGTAGGACACGCCTGCACGAGTCTGATGCATCAGTGAAAAATTCAGGATAGGTATATTTGTGTGCCAATTCGCAGAAGTACATCTGAATGTGTAGGGGTGGGGCATGCTTTGTCACAATCATGAAATATTTGTCACAATTTATAACCTGCCATTGCCATGGCGGGGCGCATGTAGTAGGAGCCATAGCGCGGTGTTCGAGCAATGGGACGCCCGTGTCTACAGCTAGTGCTCGAACACGCAGCGAGAAGGGCTGTTTCAATGTGAGTCTGTTTTGAAAGAGCTGGGAGCTGGATGTGTCGTTTACAGCAGGGTATGTAGGGTGGTCGGTCCTTGCGGTTATCTTCAAAAAAATATGTAAAAGACAGGTACAATCTTTGTATATGTAGCGACCATTCATCTGAGTCTACATAGAGGATTTCCATGGGGCTTGTACGAAAAGGTCCCATAGAAAGGCGAATGCCTAGATGATGGACAGAGTCCAGCATTTTCAATGCCGTTGGTGTTGCGGACTGGTACATTATCGCCCCATAGTTTAGACGCGTGCTTTTGTAGAGGCTCATCAGACATTTTCCGTCGCTGCCCCAACTTGTGTGGGACCGCACCTTTTGTAATGTTCATTGTTTTCATGCATTTCTCCTTAATGTACTTAATGTGTGGTATAAACGTGAGCTTCGTGTCTAAAATTATGCCTAAAAATTTTTGTTCACTCTTGACAGCTACGCGCTCACCCTGCAACTCTATATGGGGATCAGGGTTGAGTCCTCTCTTCCTATAGAACAGAACACAGGAGCTCTTTAGTGGATTCAGACAAACCGTTCTCATCTGCCCATTTACAGACCTTGTTAACACAGAGCTGAACCCGTCGCTCGCATGCCGAGAGATAACAGAATTTAAAACCTATCTTTAGATCATCAACGTATGCTGAATAAAAGATGTTACGCGGGATCCTAGATCGCAGGGAGTTCATTTTGACTACAAAGAGAGTACAACTGAGGACACCGCCCTGGGGTACTCCCGTTTCTTGCATGAACGGTCGTGACAACGCATTGCCCACTTGAACACGAAATGTCTCATTGGACAGGCAATTTTTATAACACTTAGCATATTACCTCGTATACCTTAATGTGAGAGGTCTATCAATATTCCAAAGCGCCACGTTGTATCGTATATCTTGTCCATGTCAAGGAAGAGAGATAGGAAAAACTGCTTATGAATGAAAGCTTCGCGTATTTGCGCCTTTATGCGGATGAGATGGTCCATGGTGGACCGACCCTCTCGAAATCCCCACTGACATTGGTCGAGGAGTTTGATTGCAAAAAATGTAATAATCAGCAGTTTATCATCTTTTCCTTCAGGAAAGTCACTAGTCATTTCAATAGGACACTGCAAAATGAAGTTAAATGAGGACACACTTATTATGCAGAATGTTCAATGTGCCTTGCGCTTTCTTAGCCACTAATCAAGAAAACTAGCAAAATAATGTGGTGTACACAATTGTGAATAAAGCATCTCGAAGGGTCAAGATGACTCCTGAACAACCATCTAACATGGTTTGATGTATTCTTAGTAAGCATACATTTGAATTCTCGAATTCCTGTGCTATAACACGTACCATTTTTCTAACGTTCCGAGGGCCTACGTGTGTGTTACGTAGCTCTATCTGTGTGTTTTTTGGTACTGCACCCCAAAAGTTCAACCATAAAACAACTTGCCCAAACCAAAATTCTGCATGTACCATTTTTTCATAGCAGTTACTGATATAATATTTGCACAAATACAATGAAAGTTTATTACATGATAAGAGCAACTAAGGCAATCACCTCACACTATAGTCAAAACTGCAAAGAAAAGAAAATGTAGCAAAGAAAGGATATGATATGGCAAGTATGAAGTAGTTTGACAAACCAATTCACCGCCACAACATAACCCTGCTTGACGTTAACAATGGAAATAGAGCCACTAAGTACACGTGTATTGCCTGACCCTTTGAACGAGTACATATCCATTGCTTTGGCCTAAGTGTGGAAACTTAACTGCAAGAAGCACACAGGCACATGTCACTAGCAGATCAGAAATCACATATTGTTGAGATGTTCTCATAAATTAATAACCATAGAAGTATCAAATATTTTGTTTCTGTAAAAACCATACCCTCTTTTCACAAGTCTTAATAGACATGCAGTATATATTAGTTCTGCAATTTCTTCCTAGTATTTCCAAGACTCGACGTAATTTAACAAAAATCTCTACAAACTTCTAATCTAGCTACAAATGTTTGTGCACTCATTACTGTGTGAAAGAAACATCACAATATCAAGGGGTTTTAAGTACCCATGATATGATCATGAGAAGAAAAAGTGACATTCAGTTCAATGAAGTTCAAACTACAGTGTGGAAAACCAAAGTTCAGTTACACACAAAGGCTTCAAATTTCTCACCTTTGAAGGATGAATAAAGAAAAAATAGGTATGCATATGTCAGCTTAATTTCATTTGGAATTCCATCAGAACACATTGATTACTAGTTTCTTATCACATGTGAGAGCACTTAAATAGCAGCACAGAGTATGGAATACTGATAATTTTCCTGGAAATATGCATGCTTCTAAAATTGCCGCAATACTTATTTCATGCCAGAAAATTACTGGACTGCACAGGAATTCTTAATTGACATGGCTACATAACTAATCTAAATACAAATCATATGTGGCAAATTTCTGTGAAAGAGAACTAGCTTGGCCCTAGTGATCTTGAACATGATGTTCTGATTAGTACTAATGTCTACTATAAATTAATGGGCATACAAACAGGACCACATCCTTTAATCACCAGAAAAGTATCAATATTTAATAATAATGGGTGCTGTATGAAAATACCATAACATATATAAGTAATATAAACTTTTAAAAGTTACACTTATAGTATTTCAAAACCCTAATATGCTTTGATATTTATATTTTATCAAATGGCCAGAGCTACTTTCAATTAAACACTCCAGTTTCATTTTTACTCACCTGCCAACCAGAGATGAATCCAGTGAGTGTGGACGTCGTACTCGAGCACGGACCTATGCAACAGTGTCATCAGCTCAGTTAATGATGATGAATTCAATGCAAACAATGTGTGAAACCAAAAAACAATGTTAATCAAGTTTTGGCTACAACAAAACTAAGTTCTATCAGTATCACCATAAATTGTTAACTCAAGCCAGCCTCGTTCCAGTCACACACATTGTGCGAACCAGTAATGCTATCACAGCCTCAGTAGTAGAATGTGTGGTACACCTTACACTATTTCATGCCTCAGTGGTTTGATAGACAGCTACATATGTTTGGCCATAATCATCTAAGAAGAGTCATTTTTATACTGCAATCATGCTACCATAACTTCTGCAGGCCAAGATCACACATGGATGTAAATTTACACAGTTATTAAATATTTTAAAAGATATTTAAGCCATGTTTATCAAGAGTGAAATTCACCAGAAGTGTGTTGATGAAATAAGCATGTCTAAAGTGCTTAAGAAGTTAACAAAACCTAGAATCTATGCATGCCTTGTGAGAAAAAAATTGACTGTCCTACATTCCCTAATTAAATTCATGCCTTAAAACTTCCTGTGTTATCGTAAATTACCCATCATACTGGAAAAAAAGGTCATTCTTATCCTCTCGCCTAAGCTTCTTCCTGTAGTTTTTTTTAACTACAAAACAAGTATATTAGTAGAACTAACCAACATTACAATGACAGCAATCTGAAAGTTTTCATACCACACATGTTAGCCATACATCACATAAAAAAGCCTAGCAAAATGCATAGAAAATTAAAAAAAAAACGATGCTGCTGCTGTTCTCAATTCCAACAAATCTGTCACGATATTAGGCTTCAGGCTGTGTTATAAAAATCAGTTCAAACACCTTTAGCACTCTGAATATGATTACTGGTGCTATTTACAATGAAGTGAATTCCACTGTATACTATAGGACACTTCTCGTACTGTTGAACTAATCTGCTAAACACAAGACACACCTGAGTGGCTTAGTAATAAAATCCTTTGTTGGGCGTGTTGCTTCATTCTGGAATAGATCTGAGTGTAAACGCACAACACACAAGACAAGAGGACAAGTATACGAGCGCTCGCCGTAATGATAGTCTTAGATAAAACTATGGCTGCTTTTTCGTTGACAACCTGATGACAGGTCAATGAAATTCCATTCTTTCTCAGCGTGCACTACTTAAGCCAGAAAATGCGATACTAGTACCTAAATGTTCATACTGAAGATGCGCAATGCTCACAGCAATTTACATCACGAGTAGACACCTGTTGCTTCTGTGGAGTGATAATACCTATATGCTCAGTAGCAAATGTGGCAGCAATATTGAAGTGCGGATTCTATAGTTTGCAGTGGTGACACAGAGTATGTGCATTGTTTCTCTGTAGGAGAGCTTTGTTCTGAATTGTTAGGCTGACAATGAGTATAGCATAAAATAGAGCACAGTGCTTTAGATTCATATCTCAAAAGCGAAAAATGTCACATAGCAGGTGACATCCAATGTACTACAATAAATTTGAAAGATAATCTCGTATACTTACACTTTTCTCACATGACACCTGCTGAAATAAATAAAGCAAAGGAACTGTTAGTAAACCTGATAAAGCAAAAGTACAGCAAAAAGACCAACTGTTTGTAGGGTATGTTCGCATGCACGTGCTTTAGCATGTGTCTAAGAAAACAAAGAACACATTTCTAAAATGCTGTACAATAAAATACCACTCAAAGCACAGGAGAAGGCAAAACAATCTATTCAGGATTGTTTATTACAGATTTTCGTAGAGTGAAAAGTAACCTCCATGACATCAAACATGCAAAAAACTGATAGAACGAAAATCTCCATAAAGAGGAATAAGACACCACTTTCTTTCCATGTGCTGAAACTATGCAAGAGACTGATTTTCTAAAATATAAACGACAAAGTTTCGATATAACGAAGAGAAGTGCTGAAGTAACCAACTTTCTTATACAGAATTCCAACTATACTTCCTTCACAAATGCGCACTGCAAGCTGTTTGGCATGCACATTAATTTTTTTTTTGCCAGAACTGTTTTACTTCACTAAGCACTGATCACGCATGAATGTTTTACTTAACATGAACCAACCATTTTTAAATAGAGGTGCATTTTAGATGAATGTGACAAATTACACATTGTTCAGTCATATTGAGTAACCTCAGGATATTTTTTTAGCACTTAGCTAAAAACCCCAATTATGTGAATTTTCAGGTCTTCAGTGCATATGCTGTAGAGCCACATTGTTATGTTTTTGAAGAGGTTGTGGAGAAAAAATATGGGAAAAACAAAACATCTATTTACAACTCTTTTACAAAGGAAAGGTTTTTAGCATGCAGATATAAGGAAAAAAAAGGTGACATGCTAGGGCCGATGCTTTAACAAACATAACAAACATACGATTTAATTTTGAGTTGGCAGGAACATAAGTATGTGGCAAAGGTGACAGGCAGATGAGGTGCAGACTTCTGCTCCCTTTATAAAGGACATTACAGCCACAAAGATTCATATTCAGCGACCTGCACATAGCTAAATGTTGTGTCTTTAAAACAAGACAGGTAAATGCCTTTTGGATTTCAGAGCCTTTATTGTTTGAAAAAAGTTAAAGACAGGAAGATATCAACAAGATTTTACTACATTTAGAAGAGTTAAAGATTGTGTTCCTTAATACACAATGAGGTTTCAATGATGGTATGCTTTATGCAGTAATTGATTCCAACTCAAAACATAATTACACATTTTAGGTACAATTTCAACAAATTAAAATTGCATGTTAGCTGTAGGATAACTTAACATGAGCATGTCCACAAATGCACCAAGCACCATGGAATTGGATATACAGATTTATTAGCTATTGTGAAAAATTGTGGCATCCCCTAAAATATCTCATGCAAAGGTATAGCTTTCTACTATGTGTACCTTGAATACTTATTTCCCCAATCAACATGTAGTAAGCCCTGCGCTTTTTTACTGACTTGTGATAGCTTATGTCAATGAAAATGAAGCCAAAAAGCTTCAGTGCAACACTCCAATGCAACGCTGTTAAGAATACCAATTGCAGAAAGAGCTAATTAGCATGCAGTGAAGCATATTACCTGCAACCATTTGCCATTGGAAACAAAACCACCAAATAAGTGCAATAATGCCAAAAACTTCCCAGTCTGCTATACACAGTTCAGGAGAGGAAGCGAACTGTCATCAATGACAAGAAATCTATCAAGCATTCACAGTCTTTGAGCAAATTATCGGTTAATTCCATCTTTTTTTTTTTTTTCTGATGCTAAAAGACTGCCAGAGATGTGCAAAGTTTCTAGCAAAGCCTCAAATAGGAATTTTGAATTGATGAAAAAACAAAACTAAAACAAACATCAATGGATAAATACCACCAGAACAAACACTGCTGCGGCGGGTATATAATGCATTTTGAATTATTGATATTAGGAACAGTTATTTCACAATTTCCTTCAAGTTCACTTTATCAGCAGGGCTTGTTGCCGAGCTAGTGTCACAAACAAGCACTCAACAAAGCACGCGCCTTTGAATTCTAACCACTGCATGAAATCAAGGTGCCGAGCAGACGCGACATAAGCCAGCGTAAAGAAGAAACAAGCATCAAAAGACACCTCGCACGCGCCGCACAGTCCCTCCCCCTCAGAAGCGCCATAGCCACGCCAACCAACCTCCTTGGATCTAACACCCAGTGAACTCCATAAACATCGAGAAGGAAGAAGTGAGTCACTCTCTGGTTGCATCACGGGTCACGGAGAGTTCGAAAAAAGTACTGCCCCTTCCCCAGCTTTGGCTCTGCGGCGCACCAACAACACTTCCAGAACCCAGGGCAAATGTATATAAGCGAGCAGCAAACGGTGGCGATCAGGAGGTGAAGAGAGTTTTCCACCATCAGGCAAAGGCGTGTTCTACAGTGACAAAGCAGAGACGAAGAAGTGTGTTTTCTACCTGCGGGTGAAGGCTTGTCTTACAAGCAGGAGAAGGGTGTGCGTTTACAACCCGTGGGCGAAGACATGTTTCACAGTTGCAGCGTGCAAGTGGCCGATACATTACTGGTGAAGAAGTTTTGTTATTGAAGTGTGTGAAAATTTGACGACCCGAGAGTTTCTTGGAAGAGAAACCTCGGATGCAGAGAAACGGCAACCGGCGCTGGAGTGAGTGTTTCCTTGAAGAGAAGCATTCAAGCTTTGTTCCGAGAACTTTGGACTGAATACATTTGACGAAAATTTTAGTCTGTAAGTGTCTTTGCACGAGATTTGATTGTAGTACATGTTTGTGCCCGTTGTTTTTAGTGTGTCTTGTGTTGTGTAGCCTGTTGTTTTGAGTATCTTGTGATTGATGACATATTGTATTGAATTATTGCCGAGTGTGCATGTTTGTGTGTTGTTTATTCTGCCATATTTGAGAATATATTTTTGTTTTGTTATCAACTCTCGGCTCTGCCTCGTTCTTTGGACCACAGCCGGCGTATGCTGATGCACCAAAGGAACCGATTCTAAGTTGTCCGCGCTTTCGTGGTGCGTTTTGGTGAGGCAGATACGTCTGCCCTTGGAATCAGCCCGGCGATTGCCTCCCTAATTAACGGAACAGATAACAGCTAGTTGGTTCATACTTTTAAAAAAATGAATTTGTTCTCGTCCACTATGTGCCGTATCTGTTTTTTTTCCACACTATCAGGATTTCACTGCATTTCCTTTCAATATCTTCCCTGGCGCTTTATCATGTGCAACTATCTATACACAATGCCCAATGGATTTTTGTCGATGGGCTCGCAGGCCTAGTTTTATATAGACAACTTTAAGCACTCTAATAAGTGACAAAAGTGCATATTCACAATTTTTTCATGTTTTGAGCACTAAGCAGAACCATTACCTTCAACATTTTTTACACAAGAAAAATAATTCTATACAACATGATAGAAAGAACTTCACTTGGTGTTATTGAACACACTGAAAGTTTTCTAAGTACAATTCTTTTTATAAAATGGCATTTCAAAACTTTAATGACCCTAAATGAATCGTAAAATTTTTCAAAGACCTCCTATCACATAGTTTCAATTTAAAGAGAGCCTAGCATTTCAAGTGTCTAAATGCAAATTAATCACTTTGAAAAGTGTGAAGAAAATTTTGAAGCAGAATTTTCTTAGGTTTTGTTAAAGTATATGGGTAAACTTGTGTAATTATCTATGCATATCTATAAAAGACACTACCCTTTTTCAAACTGCACCAACTATATCATCTAGAACAAAATTACACTATGATGATTAGAAAAATTAGCGCAAGCGCATAAAATAGAGAAACAACACATCAATACATCTCAGCAACGTAACTAAATGCACTGCACAGGTTTTCTGTCACATATTTTTTGATGTTCTACCACATCTTTTCCAATATTTTTCATCATAAAGTGATGCCATGCTTCATCCTGCATCTCTTTCAAAGTAGACAAATTAAAAATAGTATTTCTCATTTACAGAACAAAGGTATGCTCATTTTTGTAAATGTAACAAATGACACTCTGATTGCCAACGCAAACCAAAGATGTCTCCCGATCTGGTGCATTTCATTAGACAACTAACTGTCCACAAAAAATATTTTCTGTAACTTTGAATTACACAAAAAAATATATTGTTAGTCTTGTCTGTCTGCAATGTACACTTCCTAAAGCAGTGGTTCTCAGCCACAGATGTGTCAAGGATTCTTTGGGGACTGGTGGAAGTGATGGAGGACCCCTTGTAGCAGAGCGTACGGAGGAGGAGGGGGTACGTAGATAAATTAATACAACTGGAGCGTGAAACAGGTGCCTTTTATTGCCTTTGTGAAAATAGTGAATTTTAAGTCCAAAACTACTTCAAAGCGAATAGTTATTTTTGTATAATAATTTAGAATCGAATTTTAATAGTATATATGACATACAAAGAAAAATGGGCATATTTATCATGACCTAACTAACGAGCACAATATATCTTTATAGTGAAGTAGGGCCTCTATACAAATGTCTTTTTTGTTCACAGGAAGTCGAAACAACTTTGAGTAGTAGCGGGATATCAGTTTAGGTAAGATGCGAGTGATAACCTGTAAAATAGGTAAAAATTAAATTTTGTTATACTTGGAGCATATAAGCTGTCATAACAAGCTTTTAAGGTTAATAAAATGTTGAATTGATTTGAGGGTAACATGTTCATTTAAAGGGGCCCTGCAACACTTTTTCAAGTAGCCATGGAGCCAGTAAAGAAGCTTGTTGCTTCGCAAATTTACCGCTGCAAAATCTTATGAAACAGTCCAGTACGAGCGGATGAGTTCCGAAAATTAGGAGCACACTGCAATTAAATTCTCTTTTTTCGTCCTGATGAAATAGCTGGAAGCTAAGCAGGGAGGAATGGCACAGCAAAAGAAAATACGTCACATGCACCTCGTGATCTTGAGCCCCTCTTTTCTTAGAATACGCGACTTTTCAGTGTAATCGCGCCCACACGCCTGAACAGGTCGCGGCCTCCCGCTGCGGCTCCAGTGACAACCGAGCGCGCCATGTTAAATCC